CCCTCTTCCTGGGGGCAAGGGTCACTGGGTCACATTGCCTAGGGCTGGACCCTGAGCTGGGAGGAGGAGGGGAGACTTGTTTAAGGTTTAACGTGAGATTCACTCATCTGCCTTAACACATCCCTACTTTCCAGCCTGCAGAGTGGCCCCTGGCCCCATCTGGGGTCCCTGTGGAAGCCGGAGGCTGACTATGACTCGTGCAAGATGGTTAGGGGCATCAACTGTCACATCAACCTCATCGCAGGCATGCACTGAAGACCCCTGCTGAGCCTGGGAATTTGAGGTTGCAGTGGGCTATGACGAGGCCACTGCACTCTAGCCCAAGCGATAGAGCGAGACCCTGTCTCAAAAAAAAAAAAGGGGAGGTACCTCCAACCATGTCGCTATATTGACTATGCTGCACATACTGCCCGTGCAGCATAGAAAATAACAGCGACATAGTTGCTAATATCTAGAAGGCAGTGTCTATCTACCTGGCATCTCGGACACCTAGCCACCGGTAGCCACAGAGCAAGCCCTCAAATGTATTAATTTGAACCCTAACCCTATTAGGACAGTATTAGTCTCACAGACCAAGCTCCAGCTGGGACCTCCCAGACCTTCTGTGGCTACACCATGAAGGCATAACAGCACTTACAATATATAGTGTTCTAAGTGCCCCATGGGCCTTCCGCTGGGCTCCCACGGCCACCTCTGCCTCCCCCTCCCCCTCCCTGCCCTGATAATGATATGCTCGAGTTGACTCTTTGCTGAGTTGACATTACAGCTAAGAACAGAATCAGCCAATCATAAGCGCATCCCTTGTGCCAGGTGCTGTTTTAAATGCTTTGCCTACAGGAACTCATTTAATCCTCCCAAGTCTCAGAAGGTAAGTAGTATATTGTCCCCATTTTATGGTTAGGGAAATTGAGGCTCTGACAAATGGCGAAAAAGATTCATCCAAGGTCGTAAAGTTGGGATCAGAACTTGAGGCTCCTGGATCCCAAATACTGGGAACAGAGTTGGGCGGTCCAGGTCCTGGAATCCCCATCGTGGCAGCTAGGAAGGCAGAGATCAGCCTAGGGTGAGGGGGACAGGGCTGGACTTTGGTTGGGACAAGAAACTGAAGTCACACTTTGCAGGATGTCCCAGAGGAAGCCCTGACTCCCTGCTTATGGGTTTGCCCCTGGGGGAGGGCTGAAGCCCTCCCTCTCCTGTCCTACCCCCAAGATGTAATCTCTCTGCCTCTTCCTTGCTGGGGGGATCGGGTTCCCATTGCTAGGCAACCAGGTTTGCAGTTGGTGAATAATGCAATGGGGGACCCAGAAGGGTGAGGAACTGAATTGGGGTCCCTAGTGGAGGGAGCCCCTTTTCCAGAACTCTTTACAAACCTCTGGAGCCCCTGTCACTTTCAAAAGCCCGCACACCTCAACTATTAAAATCCTTCACATACCCCATACGCTATTGTTTATCTCTGACTCTCTAAGAACAACGTAGGTGGCCATGGCTTGTGGCCACCAGGAACCAGTTGGTGGCCATTTCGTGAAGCGGGTCATCATTTCAAATTTCCCACTGTCTTTCTCAGTTTGGGAGAAAGATCTAACTTCTTCTGTTGGATCACAAGCATTTTCCTCCCGCCCCGGACACGAAAGGGGTGATTCTTAGAAGCAAAGCGTGCAAGTGACAGACCCTGACATTCCCCGGCTGTGGCCCCACCCCCCAGGCTGGACTTTGGGTTCTCAGGCTGCCAGCGGAAAATCCCCGAAGAAGGTGTCCGGGGGAATCCACATCTCCCCCCACCCCATGACTCTCTGGGGAAGTAGGGCATTGAGGACCTGCGGGGTTGACTGCCCTCCGCTCTCCCGGTCCCCTTAGGAGAGGCCCGCTGGGGTCCATGGCTCCCAGGCAAGGCCAACATCCCCTGTGACCCCCTCCCAGGCCCTGCCCACCGATCGCCCCTGACCCCAGACACTTACATGGGTGTGGCCGGAGACCACACCTGGCTCTGCAGAGCCATCTCTGCCCAGAAGCCCACTTTCTGGTCTCTGAGTTCAGGACCCACCACCCGCCTGTCCGGAGTGCCAAGGCTGTGACTCGGCTGGCCAGAGAAGGGGGGGGCTGCGGCCGGGCACCGGGAGAGCTGGTCCAGCTGGTTTGGGCCAGGGAGGCGGGAGGGAGGCATGTACCAGGCGGGCAGGCGGGCGGCCGAGGGGGGCTGGGGGCTGGCGGGCAGTTCTGGGGAGGTACTATCAGCTGTCCTGATAAATTATTCACCAGCCGCTGGCCTCCTTTGCTGCGCCCGGCTGCCTCTCAGCAAACACACTCTGTCACACTCGTGGTCAGGAATGCTGGCGAGAGTGGCCAGTTGGTGACCACCCCCCACCACCAAGAGAATGGCATCTCCATCTGGCACCCCCGATCATTCTGAGTCTGACTGCCCTCCAAGAGCCACACACATGACAGTACCGTCGCATAGCGCACATGCCGAATCTGCTTGCACGCTACCAGCCTCCCTTATTGACCCTGGCTCTCAAGTGCGGAGGGAAGGAAGGTGGGTGGGTGATCCAGCCAGGGGATTCTAGAAACCACAGACTGAGCACCATGGAACCAGGAGGCTTGAGCCCTGGGGGAAATGTGGGCAACTTGCCTCAGTTTCCCCTTCTGTCAAATGGGAGAATCCAATCTCGTGATAACCCCCAGATGCCCCTAGATGCTGTAACAGTTATGGGTAGGGTGGTGACTAGAAAGATCTAGAGAACCCCCTATCCAAATCTTGAGGGTCCCCGTTCTATACCCCATTCCTGTTCTTAAAGGGCCAGTACCCCCTTTCTCAGCCGACTTCATACTTCATTTAAACAAGATCTTGGGGAAGCCATCTTCTACTCTCCAGGCAGGGCCAGAGGCCCCTCTGGTGTCCTGCAGTCCTCAGCGCTTTCGTCGTCACAGCCCTGGTTACACTGTGCAATTACAACCTGAACCACAGCGAGAAAGGCCCTTGCCCCCTGGGGGCCCCACGCTTTAGAGGACATTCCAGAAGGGACCCTCCCTACAGGGCAAGGGAAATGTGCCCAACTATATCCTGCACTTCTTTCTTCCAGATCCTCCTCTGGGTGGCCAAGGGACAGCTGTCGGCAGAGAGATGTGGAAAGAGCTTGGACATTTGGCATTGGGTACCCCTAGGTGTATGCACAAGGATCCCTGCTATGCTAGATAGAGCTGGGGGTAGGGAAAAAAGGGGGGCAGGTGGAGGGATGGGGTCTTGTGCTCCAAATTCTAGTAAAAAACTCCTAGGGATCCAAAATGTTTTAAATCGGACCTGACTTTCTGGATCATTCGGAAGGTATATTTGCCACGATACGAAGGAAGAACATTTTTAAAAAATATGAAAAAAACTAGCCAGATGTGGTGGTGCGCACCTGTAGTCCCAGCTACTCGGGAGGCTGAAGCAGGAGGATCGCTTGAGCCCAGGAATTGGAGGCTGCAGTGAGCTATGATGATGCCACTGCACTCCAGCCTGGGCAACAGAGCGAGACCCTGTCTCAAAAAAAAAAAAAAAAAATTGGCCAGGCGTGGTGGCTCACGCCTGTAATCCTAGCTCTCTGGGAGGCCGAGGCGGGTGGATTGTTTGAGCTCAGGAGTTCGAAACCAGCCTGAGCAAGAGCGAGACCCCGTCTCTACTAAAATTAGAAAGAAATTAATTGGACAACTAAAAATATATATAGAAAAAATTAGCCGGGCATGGTGGTGCATGCCTGTAGTCCCAGCTACTCGGGAGGCTGAGGCAGAAGGATTGCTTGAGCCCAGGAGTTTGAGGTTGTTGTGAGCTAGGCTGACGCCACGGCACTCTAGCCTGGGCAACAGAGTGAGACTCTGTCCCAAAGAAAAAAAAAAAATGTTGTGATCGTGGTAAAATACACATAAAAAAATCTACCATTACTGGCATTTAGTAATATTCACAATTTGTGCAACCACCACCACTACCTACTTCCAGAACATTTCATCACCCCCAAAGGAAGACCCAGCCCCACTAAGCAGTCTCTCCCCATTTCCCTCCTTCCAGCCCCTGGCAGCCACCAATCTGTGCCTGTCTCTGTGGATTTATTCTGGACAGTTCATATAAATGGACTCACACACAATGTGGCCTTTTGTATCTGGCTTCTTTCCCTGAGCATCACATTTTATGTATTTATTTTTTTATTATTTTTTTTGATTCAGATGTGAAAGGAAGGAGCGTCGTATTTTCAAAGCTCATCCATGTTGTAGCGTGCACTGGGTACTTCATTTCTCTTCATGGGCGAATAATATTTCGTTCCATGAATACGCCACATTTTGTTGATCTATGTACCCATGATGGACATTTGAGTTGTTTCCACCTTTTGGAGGAGATAAAATATTTTATTTAATTGTTTATAGTTTGATTTTGTTTGTTTTAGTGACAGGGTCTCCCTCTGTGGCCCCGGCTGGAGTACAGTGGCACAATCATAGCTCACTGCAGCCTCAATCTCCCAGGCTAAAGCCATCCCCCCTCCTCAGCCTCCTGAGTACTTGGGACTACAGGTGTGTGCCACCGTGTCTGGCTAATTTTTCTATTTTTAGTAGAGATGGGGTCTCGCTCTTGCTCAGGCTAGTCTCGAACTCCTGAGCTCAAGCAATCCTCCACCTCGGCCCCCCAGCGTGCTGGTAAATAATCGTTCTGAAGCAACTGTTATGTGCCAGGCACTGTTCTAGGCTTGGGAGAATTGCATATAAAGGTGAACAAGACAAACAGAAAATGCTATAATACAAGTCACTTGTAGCGTGGGGAGAGAGAGAGATAATACACGCATAAGCAAAGAAATAACGGTAATCGGTGATAACCGGGGCAGAGGGTGAGTTATTGAGCGTACCTGGGATGGGCTTACAAAAGGGGTGCTGCTGTAGGCTAGGTGACCAGGGACCAGTCCCCTGAAGAAGTGACATTTGAGCTGAGACCTCGATAGCAGAAACCAGCCATGTAATGAGTCATTCCAACCAGAAAGGCACTGCAAAGGCCCCGAGGTAGGAAGGAATGCAGTTAGGGGGTTTGAGGGAAGCAGGAAGGCTGGAATGAAGTGATCTAAGGGGACAATATCAGAAGATGAGATCTGAGAAGCAGGCAGGGCCTTCTGGGCTGGGGTAGTGAATTTGGATTTTTATTCTGGATTTGACGGGAGCCTTTGGAAGGAGAGGAGGTGGCTGGAACAAGTGTGGAGAGAAGTGGATGAGTTCAGTATATGTCTGGAGGCAGAGCCAACAGTTCTGATGATGGATTGGAGGGCAGCTGAAGGAAAAAGAAATCGAAGCCAGCTCCTAGGTTTTTGGCGTGGAGAACTGAATGGGGAGGAGTAGGTTAGGGGAAACCAGGACTTCAGTTTGGGGAGTGTTCAGTCTGAGATAGCGATTAGACTGGAGACTGTCGGATGTGAGTCCAAGGCCCAGGGGAGAAGTCAGGGCTAGAGATATAAATCTGGGAGGCATCCACATAGAGATGATGTTTAAAGCGTGAGATTGCCAGACTTGGTGGCTCACGCCTGTAATCCTGCATTTTGGGAGGACAAGGCAGGAGGATCTCTTGGGGCCAGGAAATCGAGGCTGCAGTGAGCTATGATGACACCACTGCACTCTATCCTGGGAGACAAAGCAAGACCCTGTCTCGATTTAAAAAAACAACAACAAAAAAAAGCAAGAGACGATCACACCTGTAGTCCCAGCTACTCAGGAGGCTGAAGCAAGAGGATCGCTTGAGCCCAGAAGTTCAAGGTTACAGTGAGCTATGATTGGGCCATTGCATTCTAGTCTCAGCAGACCCTTTCTTACAAAAAAAAAAAAATTGTCAGTCTGAGTCCTGGAAGAAAGACTGCAACTGATGAGAACTTAACAAAGAGACAGCTTACACAGGTGTAGGGAAACCATCTAGGCATAGTCCAGCACCCTGGGTTAGCAACCCCTGGGTGCTGTTACCACCCTCTTAGCCCTGGACAGAGCTATGTGGACCTGCGATCTGCAGTGGAGGGGCTTGGAGGCAGGGGTTGTGGGGATAAACATCTTGACCTCGCTCTCTTCTCTCCCATCAGCGGGCCCCAATGGAAGCTTGTTGATGCAGCTGAAACAGAAATCTGAGAAGGGGTGCCTGGGAAGTAGAAGGAAATCAGGATGGACCAGCATCCCCGAAGACCAAAGAGCTAATGGGAAGGAGGACAGCGGAAGGGGACAGCAACTGGGTCTGTCAAATGGTGACAAGTGTCCTTGGACAGAGAAAGCTGAGTGGAATGAGGACCAAGAGCCAGGTTAGCATGGCCAGAGGAAGGAACAGAAGGTCTCAGAGTGGAGAAGTCCCTGCAGAGATAACTTTTTCCAGAAGTATATAACTTTAATCCTCATCACCTCCCTAGCCAGTGGGCACTGCTAACCCCATTTTTCAGACAAGGAAACTGAGGCTTGGAGAAGGTTCACATCTGGCTCAGGTTATAAGCGCGATGGAGCCCAGGCTGGCCTGATTCCAATTAGACCAAGGAGGTCAGAGGGAGGAGGGCAGCAGCTGGAGGTTGGGATCCGGGAGGGGACAGAGTGAGAGAGTGGAAGAGCAGAGGGAAGTCATCACCTGTAGGCAGGGAGTTGGGGGACGCGGTGATCAGGTAGTTGGATTATTGGGGGTTCCTGAGGCTGTGTGGCTCCCCTCCCCCCACACACTTTCTCTAGGTAACTATATCTTTCTTCCTGGTCACCCCAGAATGGCGGGGTGGGGGCAGGTTCCAGGGAGAGCCTGCTTCCACCAAGGGGAAGAGTGGAAAATTTCCCCGGGGGTGGATGGCCCGCGCGGGGACATCGATCCTGCTCTTGAACGACACGATCTGGTCCCGGCCTCAGGGATCTGCTTCCTCCCACCAGCCAGGATGCCTCCTGTCCCCAGTCTGGGCCTCCCTGGCCGCCTGGGCCCAAGGTGACCGCCTTTCAACCGCAACCGCTACGCTGCGCCCTGGGCGCGCCGTGTCAGTCTCTCCCTCCTCCCTCAATCTGGGAGTGCACTTGGCCGCGGACGCCCCGCGGACTTTTCCGGTAGGGGAGGGGAAGGCGCTGCTCGGCTAGGCTGGGAAGGCGGCGCACTGCTGGGAACCCAGCGGAGCCCAGGGCTGGGAGAGAGCGCCCGGCGCGCGGTAAGGCGGCTCCTGGCGCCCCCTCGGGCCGGAGCTGTGCGCCGCAAGGGTGGGAGCTGGAGGGAAGGCCCAGAGGCCGGGGCGTCGCTGCCCGCTGGCTCACACCGGCGGGGCGGGGCTGGCCAGGTCCTGGAAAGATGGCTTCGGAGGACACCCCCACAAGAGGGCCAGTGGTTCAGAGCCCAGTCCCGCGCGCGGCTGGGGCTAAGTCTCCCGCGCAATGCCAGGGAGATGGGGCCGAAAAGGTACCAAGGTGCGCTCAGTGGGAAAACACTGCACCCAGAGTGGCCCCCCAGGTAGTGCGCCGGGTCTGGGGAAGCCCTCTTCCAAGAAGTCCTATTTTTGAGTTGACCTGCGCGCACCATGGACGAAATTCGGTGCCCAGCCGAGACGCCCCTGTCCGGAGGGCGGGGCCAGGGCGGGGCCCGAGTCTCCTGGCAGGTGCCGGGGGCGGTGCCCAGCCCTGCCCCCCGGGGCCGTTCTTGAGGCCAGAGGCGGGTCAAAGAGAAGCGGCCGGTGCGGGCAACGCCTAGGAACCCACGGGCCGCGACTGCAGCCACAGCTGCCGCACAGGGCACCGTGTCCTAGTTCTGGGCATCAAAACCCTGGCGGGGGGGGCCAGGGGGGGAACTGAGGCTTTCGAGCTGCTCCCAACCCTGGACGCAGAGGCCCCCGGGCCAGAGAGCGGAGCCCTGGGGTCGCCTGAAGCTCGGGGCCACGAGCCCCCTGGGCCAGACAGCGAAGCCCTGGAGCCTGCTGTACAGCGGGACACCGAAGTCCCCAGGCCGAGCTGCGAGGTACCCGTGCCCGCCGCAGAGCAGGGCGTCGAGACCACCGAGCAAGAGAGCGAAGTCCTCAAGCCATCAGGCGAGCAGGACGCAGAGCGCCCCGGGCCGTCCACAGCTGCGGGCTTTGTGAGTCCCAAGCTAGGCAGCGACGACCCTGGGCTGTCCCAAGCGCGAAGTGCGGAGGTCCAGCGGCAGTGTCCCCCTCCGGGCCTTGAGACCTCCTCCTCCGGCGGGTCAAGCCTATTCGAACCGCCCCCGCAGCAGCTGCCCATGGAGACGCCCATCGAGCGCGAAATCCGCCGCAGCTGCGAACGCGAAGAGAGCCTGCGCCGGAGCCGGGGCCTGAGCCCGGGCCGAGCGAGCCGCGAACTCGTGGAGCTGCGCGTACGGCCGGTGCTGAGCCTGCCCGGCCCTGGCCCCGCGCCCACGCGCGCCTTGGAGCGCGCGCGGGCAGGCGCGCAGATGCTGCGAGACATCGAGCGGGAGGCCCACCGGCAGGCGGCGCTGGCGCGCCCCGCGGCTCCGCCACCGCGCGCCCGGTCGCCGCCGCAGCCGCTGGTCGAACTCAAGCGCTTCTTCGAGGCCGCCGCGGGGAGCAGCTCCTCGGCGGCCGCGGAGGGCGGCGGGGGCCCGCAGCGGCTGCCGGAGCCCGGAGGCCGGCCGCGCTCGGCGGGGCAGGGCGGGTGCCCGGTGCTGGCCCGCGCCCCGCCGTGTGTCGCTCCGTCACTGCTGGAGCAGGAGGTGCACGCGGTGCGCGAGCGCGAGCGGGAGCTGCAGCGGCAGCGGCGCAGCATCTACGGTACCACCGAGCTCAAGGAGCCTGCGCCAAGCCTCACCGGTAAGCCGCGGGGGACACCCAGGGTTCCAGCCGCCCCCACGGACTGCCCAACTCCGGGGGCCCCATCTCTGGCCCTCCGATTCTCGGGGGTCTCTCCCTGCAGGCTCCCAAACTCCTGGGACCCCCTTCTCAACTTTCCGTCCTTTGCCCACCCCTTCTGGGCTGCCCACTCCCTGGGCTCCACTTCCCGCCCGGAGTGAGGGACTCCCGGCCCCACACCCTCTAGGTCGCGAGGGCGGGTGAGGGAGGATTCCAGATGTCTTCCTCTTTGTCGGGTTCCAGGGAACCCTGACTGGGTTCTGGCACTGCTGGATCCTCCCTCTGAATTTTCGGGCTCCTGCCTCTCCGTTCTGGGTTCACTTCTCTCCTCCTTCGGGTTCCTGGGCTCCGCAGAGCTGGATGGAGGCCTCCACGGGGAAGAGAAGGGTGAACGCCTGTGTGTGTTTAAGGGGCGCGGCCGGCCTCCTTCATCCGGGCTGCCTCCAGCTGGTGAGAGGAGGGGCAACCCCGGCTGAGCGCCCCTTCCCCCCCACAGCGAGCAGGGGAGACGGAAAGTTGGCGGTGATCTGGCCCCCCCGCAGAAAGGCCTCGGAGAACGGCCTGGAGCAGGTGGGAGTCCCCTTCCCCGTGTACCTAGAGCGCTGGTCGCTCCCCTCCTCCCTGCGGTACCAGGACGCAGCGTGGGGAAAGATGTAGTCCCGCGCCCCCTGGAGCGCCACTCTGGCCAGAGCTCAAAGTGTGGGGCGCAGCCCGGGGGTGAAGGGCATGCGGTCGTCCTGGGGTCCAAACCGCCCCACCCCGCACCTGGGTGCGGTGCGCGGGTCTCTGAGGCCGGCCTTCCTCTGGCCCTCTCTCGCCAGGAAGAGCGCAAACCTTGAGGTTTGAGCAGGCTGGGGCCTGTGGCCGGAAGTAACACATCCGTCGCGGGACCGGGGAGGGGGCTACCCCGCGGTGCCCTCCGGATCGGCAGACGGTCTGGATGCGGATCAGCTCTCTGCGCTGGGGGAGAAGAAATCGACCGGCCCAACCTTGATCTTGACTTTATGAAACTGACAAGCTCTCTCCATAAAACTGCTTAGTCCGCACTGGGAAACTGACCACCACCAACTCGGCCAACGAAACTGTCCGGCCCGTCTCCTCCCAACTGCAAACTGAACTGCCCTCTCTCCCTTGACTATTAGAGGGTCTCAGCTGCCCCCTCCCCCAATAAAGCCACTTCTTTCAGGGCCGTGGAGGCTGTTTTCTTCTGGGTCCTCCTCGTCTGGGCTGGGGCGGGAAGACGGAGGTCGGAGGGAGGCCTGAGAAAACAGCAAGAGGCGCCGGCCGGAATGCGGAATGCGGGAATGTGCCCTTATCGCCCTGTTCCCGGGCTGCCCGCCTCCCGCGGCCAGACCCGGCCTGGCCCGGGTCCGACTGCCCCCTGGCGGCACGGGCGCAAATGTGACGCTCGGACAGGGCGCACGCCCTCCCTTTCCAAGTTTCTTTGTCAACATTTATTTGTGCCAATGGCGTGCCCCGCGCCGGGCGCTGGCTAGACACAAGTGATAAGAGGCGGTTCCTATCCTGGAGACGTATACAATAGCTACCAAAAAAAAAAAAAACCAGGAAAAAAAAGGGCATATGTGGTGAGGGTTCAAGCTACTCCTTGACATCAGCAGTTTCTGATCATGGTCCTTGACGTCATAGTTCCTCACAACGGAGGAGTGAAGTGAGGGAGGGAAGTATCATGAGTTTCTGCTTTCCAAAAGCAACTGGAAACCCAGCCTTTAAAAGAGAAATCTTTGCTTCTTAGACTATTAAATATATATATATACGCAAAATAAAAATCTGAACTTTTCACGATTGTCACTATTTAGGAAAAACTTTTAAAATTATGAGGGAGGAAAGGAGAGTGGCAAGCATCACCTGCTTACAACAGAACCTTTGACTGTCAATTCGCAAGCCCTGGTTAAATTCTCTTCCCTGGATGAGGGTTGGAGAGGGGGGGTGAACACCCTGAGTTGTCTGTAAAACTGTATCTGTGCAGTTAACATTCTGGGGCTAGAGTTTAACAGCTTCTTAGAAGTGCACTGAGACCAGAAAAGGTGAGACCCAGGAACGTTTTAGAATTGCTGTTTGAACTCCTCCATTTGTCCAACTCTGTCCCCTGCATAGGGACAGCAAATGAAATACACATGAGAAGAAAGGCTCACACAGCCAAGAGCAGCTCAGTCCAAGAAAGGCCCAACTACTGACCTCAGCATCAGTACACTGACCACATGCTTGACCTTGACTCTGGGAGATCTGGAGAGAAAGGCAGGAGAGAGTCAGGGGTTCTCTAACTTTCCTGCATATGAAACTCAACTGAGGCCCCGTGTGCCAAGCAAACCAGAATGGGGGGGTGGGGTGCTTGACATCAGTATTTTTATTTAAAGCTCCCCAGCTTATTCCAACGTGCAGCCAAATTTGAGAACCATGATGCAGATGTAGACCAGAAGTTCTCAAAGTGTGGTGCCTGGGCCAGTGGTAGCAGCCATACTTGGGGACTTGTTAGAAATGCAAATTCTTGAGTTTCCTCCCAGTCCTAATGACGGAACTCTCCACGTGATTTTGATGCATGCTAGAGTGTGAGTGGCATGGGTGTAGACAACTGCCGAGCAACAGGACCCAGGAAATCAAGCTTGTTTCCTTCCTCTTCCAGTATTGCACTACCACTACCCACCGGAAACCTCTAGGGTGTGCAAACTCTGCCTTTCATTTGAAGGAAGACAATCTAAAGCTGCTTGTGGCTAGTCTGAATTGAGATGCACTATAAGTCTGAAATACCAGCTTTGAAAGACTTAGTACAAAAAAGGAAAATATCTCATTACTAATTTTTGCATGGATTTTATGTTGAAATAATATTTTGGGTATATTGGATTAAATTTAAAAAATCACTAAAGTGAACCTGACCTCGTCTATTTTTATGTGGTTACTAAAAAGTTTGAAATTACATATGTGACTTGCGTTTGTGGCTCGCTTTATATTTCTATTGGATCGAGCTAAAAGAGTCTTACATCCACGGGCAGACTCACAGGGGCTACCTCGACTCAGTATCAGGGAACTTCAGAAATTCCTTGCATTCATTCAGATCAGGACCATAGATTTAAAAAAAAAAAAAAAATCTTTGCAGTCAGAAATTGTCCCCAGAAGCCCCCACGAAGAGCAAGGGTTTGGGCGTCCAATCTTGACTCGCTTCGCCTCTTAGGTCCGTTTTTTGTCATTTGTAAACTGAGGCTTGTGATAATACTATGTGCCAGGGACAATGAGGTGCGCGCTTTGCTAAAAAGCATAAAGGTTTCTCCTTTGACTATGGGGGAGGAGAACCAAAAGGTATTCTTTGGTTTAAAAGGGAATAACGCGCAGGTGAGTGACACCCGGGTCAGGAAGGACGCCCTTCCTCTTGCAAGAAGCCAGTTGAGATCAGAAGGACCTGCTTAGGGTTGAAGCTCCGCCACTTGCTCGCAGGAGGTTTAAACAGGTGCGTTCACCTCCCTTATCCTGGGTCTCCTCTCCCGCCCAGGGGTGAAAAGGGGCTTAAGAGATCCCAAGCTGGGGTTCCTTACGACTCTCCCACACGGCTCGCGCCCCGGATACCCGGAGAAGGACGGCGACCTACCCGGATCTAAAGTTCCAAAAGCTGGAAGACGGGAAAAAAAAGTCTGACTCGGCCCTCCGGAAACTGATCGCGAACACTTTCCTGGGGCACGTCGGGTAATGTAGTCTTTTATGTTAGAAAGAAATCACTTCCGGGTCAGAATGGAGTGGGCGTGGCCCTAGGTCTCTTCCTTCAGTGGGTGTTGAACTTTCCTGCTACCCGAAACTTGCGGTTTTCTGGCTTGTTGACCTGCGCCGGCACTTCCCTTTTTGCTTCACGTGCACGTATGCGCATGCGCCGCGCTCTCGTCCGCCTATAGGCAGATTATGGGTTTGTTTCCAATGACTACATTTCCCAGAAGGCCAAGCGAGCGGGCGGGGCCTCTCCGCCCCAAGGGGAGGGGCGCGGCGCTCGGAACGGACGCGGAGCCTGTGACCTCTTTCTTTTATTTAACACAAAACTGGTGTGTCCGAACTCTGGGCCCCACGGCCTGGCTGGACTCAGTGCGGACAGGTCGGCTCGGCCTGGCCCTTTGGAAGGCGAGGCCGGGCTACACTGGGAGAACGAGTGAGCCTCTCTCCTGGAGTTTGAAACTGTCAAGCTCCAGCTCCCACCCTCTTCCTCAGGTTCAAGACCCCTGCGCTGCCCACGCTGCGGGCCCCGCCGCGCTCGGGGGCCGGGCCGGGCCTGCCTGGCCCGTGAGGATCTGCACCAGCAGGTCGGTGGCCAGCGTGTGCGATGGCTCCTCGAAGCCGATGGTCAGCAGCTGTTGGTAGTCCCCAGGTGGCTGCGGGCACAAAATCCTGGGGAGACCGGGGACAGACAGGCCTGGACTTGAGTGCCCCCTGCCCTCGGGAGCCCCTCCCCTTGAGTGAGAAGCTGTGGCTGAAAGAGGCTTTGTTTCAGCTGGGGGGTGGGAGAAACCCTGGAGGGAAGTTGTTTCCTTGTTGATGAGAAACAGAGAGAGTATCGGCAGCTCCCCCGAGGCTGAATAACTGTCTCTAACCTGTCCCAATCACACTGCTAGCTGTGTGTCCTTCGGCAGGTAACTTAACCTCTCTGAGCGCCTGTTTTCTTCTTTGTAAAATGGGGCCAATAGTATAGACCTCAATGGGTTGTTACTAGGGTCTGCATAAAGTGCTTTTCAGGGCACAATAAAATGCTATCATTACCAAGGGCAGCAAACAGATGGTCTTTGGTGGGGTTCTGCCCCTCCCTCCAGAGCCCAAAGCCCGCCTTGCCATTGCTCTAGCTCCTACCATGAGTAAATGTCATCCTCGGCTGGTCCTAGGGGCACCCATCGGCCAATGGACCACAGCTTCTGGATCTGGGGGCACGAATTGGCCGGACTCTTGCCTGTATCTTCCCAGGTATCTCGGTAGCACAGGAAATAGCTGGGAGGGGAGGAAGCAACAATGGAAAGTGACCAGTTTCATAGCTGCTTCTGTTGAGGGCTTTGATTTTGAAGAGGAGGTAGAAACGCATCAGAAGTTGCTCTGAAATTCTCAGGTACGGATGTGACTCAATAAATACCAAGGCCTTTTCTCCCCGCCAGCCTCCTTTTAAGATAAGGGCTTTTATTTTAATGGGAGGGTGAGTTTAAATAAAAAGTACTCAAAAAAAAATAAAATAAAAATAAATAAAAAAAGGTAGAGGGTAGGGGTGGCCTTTCAAAGGTCTTTGGTTTTCTGGTTTGCTTTTCATGCTTTGGTAGTTCAGAGACCCATATTGGCATTCGTCACAGAATGCCAGAGAGGGAGGGACTTTTATTTTGGTAAGGGGACTTACTAATCCACATGGGAATCTTGCCCCCTGCCACTGGGCTCTGGGATGGTCTCCAGGCTCCAGCGCATCTTCTTATAGAGGTATCTGGGGAAGCGGCTGGCAGTGTAGGCGGCTGGGGCACAGTATCTGAAGATGGACACCTCATGGGAAGGGCTGATGGAGAACCTCCCGCAGAAGAAACAGGAGATGCTGGCAGGATGGGAGAGGGGGGGATGAGACTGGGCCCTGGACTATGCCACAACACCCCCAAATCCATCTCCTACCCTTTACCTCAGAGGGTCAGTGTCCTCCAGGCTCACGAACCCGAAGGAGGCATACATGAGGACCAGCTGTTCTAGGCGCAGGGTCAGCTGCTGGGAGATCTCTAACAGCTGCATGAAAGAGGAGGTATAATGAGATCAGCTGGCCTGCCAGGAACACGCTCCTCCCTCCCTCCCGTCCCCCAGGCCTGGAGCTGTGCGAAGAAAGGGGCGTGGGGTCTAGAAAACCTGCTTGGAAGCACACACACACCCCCTTTCGGACCAACTCCTGCAGGGCTCCATAGATGGGGGGCGTGCTCCTTGCAGCTGCCTCCAAGTATAGGAAGTAGGGCTCGCACATCTGTAGGAAGGTTGGCATGGCCTTTGCCAGCTGTTCCTTCTGTACGCTGTCCCTGCTGAAGGGAGAAGGGGACCTTTGCCTGGGATCCCTCCCCCTCTTACCAGTCGCTCCCATTCTACTCACCCTCCACCCGCATCCCTGGCCCACACAGATCCCCTGGTACAAAATCTCCTAGTCCCAGGCCTTTCCTCTGAGCATCATTCAAGCCCACCTACATCAAAACCATTTGGAACACTTGTTAAAAGGCTGACACCTGAGGCCCACAACTCACTACAGACCCAAAACTCCAGGCAGGGTGAAGCCGGGAAATCTAGGGCTTAAACAGCCTCCCAGGGGATTCCAATGGACGTTGAAACTTGACAATCACAATCTCTTTTGCCCCTGGCCTGGGAATCACATTATCCTTTGGGGGTCTCAAACTGGCAGTCCGTGGGCCAAACCTGCCTCAGGTGAGTTTTGTTTAGCCCCGCACAGGGTTCAAGATCTAAGCCGACATTTAAAAACTGGGAGAGAAAGTCCTAGGGATTTAGCAACCCCCCAGGCCCACAGGGGGTCGCAGGATGGTAACACCCCCAGTTCCACCCAGTTCTCACCACTCTCTGAAACTGGATCCCTAATTGGCTAGCTTCATTTACTGTCTCCCTCTGGCTCCTAATGCTCTAATTTTGCAACCGTGCTGTGTGTCACCTAACCTGTCACCCTCTCCTCTGAGTCTCCTTACCCATGGGGACCTAAGACCCCGTCCCTCATCACCTGTAGAGCAAGTAGCTCTGGAAATCATCTGCCTTCTTGAGCAGGTAGCGGAGCTGTTCCGTGATGGGGCTGAACATAGTGTCCAGGGGTAGGCGAGGAGGGGCTGGCCCGGGACCGGGGACCAGAGGCTCAGGGGAAGGCGCGGAGGCGGCTGGGGCCTCCGGCAGCTGCTCCTGGACATCCTCAGACTCGGGCTCTGGTGGGTCCCCAGGAACGGCAGGAGGCGTCGACCACTTGGGGTTTCCGCAGGGCTGCGCCCCGGGTTCTAAGTCGTCTGGGGGCGGCGTTTCTCCAGGGCCCAGAGGGAGCGGCCCCACGAACCACTGCTCCGTAGCCATCGCCGGGCCCGGGGCGGAGACCTGAGCTCTTTAAGCTTCTGCGGATGCTCACGTTGGCCACCGGTTCCACCCCGCCCCGCCCCGGGAGCTTCAGACTTGCCCGGGTTGGGAGCGCAGGCCCCTTCAACTCGCGCCTGCCTCGACCTCTCCAGCCGCACCCGGCGCTGGGGGAGTTCGCCTCTTTTGAATTTCAACACGCGGGAGGGGCGCGCCGCTCTGATCCGCGCTGCGCAACCGCTGCGCACCCTCGGGCCCCGCGCACACGCGCGCTTCGGGAACCTGGCGGTGGGGAGGAGGGGCGAGCCCAGGGCGACCACCTAGGCCGCTGCTGGGGCGGTCACGTCTCAGGGGTGCGGCCCCAGAGCCAGCACCTTTCTCTCACCAAGGCGATTTCCTAGAGAAGAGGGGTCTCTAACGTGCGTCCAAACCTCAGGGCGCAGGTACACAGAAGAAAGATGCCTAGGTGCCACCTCCACTCTCTGACCCCGAGGAACCTGGTTTTTTTGTTGTTTTAACCCTAATGGAGTTGAGAAACTGCAGTAGAACTTAGCAGGGATTTGTGATGTAGTAGCTATACTACTGTAAGTCTTAACTTGGAAATTTTTTCCTATCCCGTGATTTTATCTAATGGCCCAATCCTTTCTGTTACTTTTATGGAGAGGAGCAGGAACCCCTGGAAACCCTACCATGGTCCCAGAACAGACCCCTGCCCCCAACATTTGTAGACTCGATTCTCTGTACCATACACAGGCTGACAAGTTACATAGCCATGAAGCCAAAGACATTAATTATATTTAAGGACTCAGAGGAAAGAACTGACAGGTGTCAGACGCTGCCCTGGGTGACCCTGAGCTAACATCTTCGCTGCCTCATCTGTAAAGTGGGTTTTTACGAGTTCTTTGCTTCATAGAGCTACAGGGAGGATGACTGAGGAAAAATGCTCTTAAAGCATGGAGTTGCTCACGAGGCTGAGGAGGGAGGATCGCTTGAGGCCAGGAGTTCAAGACCAGCCTGGACAACATAGCCAGATCCTGTCTCTAAAAAAAAAAAAAAAAAATGTTGGCACTGGACTGCAGTCCCAGCTACTCAGGAAGCAGAGGAAGGAGCTCAGGAGTTTGAAACTGCAGTAAGCTCTGATCATCCAGCCTAGATGACAGAGTGAGACACTGTCTCTTTAAAAAAAAAAGTTAACTGCTAGTCACTCAACAAACATTTGAACACCTACTGTGTGTGCCTGACTCTGTTCTGTCCACACCCTCCTGGAGCCCTTACTGTCACAGCAGGCTGTGAGGCAGCCCATTTACTTGGCTTTCTCCTGGCCCAGACAATTTTATTCTAACCTTAGGATCTCCCAGGAGGCTCTTCAATACTCTTCCCTGCCCCATTCATAAAAAAATGGACTCCGTGGCATTTTTTTTTTCCTTTTCCTTTTTTTAAAATTTTATTTAAAAAACCTTCGGTGCAATATTAAAAAGCAATACAGCCAGCTGGAGCGACACCCAACAGAAAGAGGGGAAAGAGGGCCCAGGGACCCCACCCAAGCTGCTGCCCTTGAGGCCAAGGGCAGACTAGGAAGGGGCGTGGGTGGTGGGGGAAGGGAGGAAAGGCCACCCACCAAAATGAACAGGCAGAAAAAAACATTTATATAGGAAACAACTGGCTGGACTGAAGAAGTTCTTGGGGAGATGAGAAGCGCCCCCCATTCCTTTTTTTTTCTTTTTCCAAAAATGTCCTGGGCTGGGGGGAGGATTGGCCTCCAGGGGTGAAAGGAACAGGCCGCTGTCCCCCCCAACCACACTGATGAGCCGGGGCGCAGGTGTGTGCGTGAGACACAAAGGAAAGAGATGAGTAAGGGAGTGTCCCCTCCCTGGAATCTGTTATGAGGGCTGAGGGAGTTCCCATCCAGCTCCTGGACTCTGGGGGATCTTAGGTGGGAGGGGGGCTGGAATGGGCTGGGACAGGGGCAAGGCTAGGCGCTCAGCCTAGAAAGCCATCAGGGTCATCGTCCTCAAAGTGGCCTTGCTGAAGCACCTTGATGTGGTGCTCGTAGATTTTCAGGGCTGGGCCCAGGCGGATGGACAGGCCGGTGAGGACGTCTGTACGTTGCATTAGCAGCAAAGACTTGCCATCGATTTCCTGGGCAGGATGGGGACAGAGAGCAGGGTCACAGCACACCCGTGCTGAGGCTGTGTGTGTGTGCGTGTGTGTGTGTGTGTGTGTGTGTGTGTGTGTGGTCCTGGGCTGGGAACTCACCTGTTCTTGGAAAGCTGTAGCCTGCTCCGGGAAGCCTGCTTCTGTGAAATATTCCACCACATCCATCACCGTCCACTCCACGGGGTCAGCCGGCTTCTCTTTGCGCCCGGGACTGCAGCAAAACCGAGGACCGCCAGTGAACGCTGATGGCCCTCTGGCTGTCACACACACCTGGGCAGCACCCGCATGTCTCAAACACCCCAACTTACGGACAGCCAAAGGGGGTCCCGTCGGCCCCAGGGAGGGCTGGTTTTCCGGGGGGCAAAGGCACCGGGGATGGAGAATCTGGCCCCGTGGCAACAGAGGCTGGGAAAGAAACAGCAGCTGCCTGTGGCTTTGTCTTAAGGCTGCGTTGGTCCCCACCTGGAACCCCCACCCAGAGGGGACTCCTCACCTGATCCCCCCTCCTTATTCATGGCTGCCATGGAGAACACCTGGCGGGTGCCACTGCCTGGCGCTGGTCCCCGCCCTTCATCCTGGCCCTGGTGGGGTCCACAGGGTGACCACTCCTTGACCCTCTCCTTGGCACTCTGAGGGCCCCGCTCGCCATTAAGTTGATGGTGCTGAGCACCTGCAGGACGGTCACTTTCGGGCACTTCTGAGCTCTCCGACACATCATCTTCATCATCTTCGTCTTCGTCGTCGTCATCATCTTCTTCTTCTTTCTCAAGCACTCGCTCTTCTCCACCCCTCTGGGCCCGGGAGGGAAGCAGGCAAGGTAAGTAGCTGCTCTAATCCTGGCCCCAGACCCTGGGATCCGAGACTGGGTCGAGTGCCCAACGCCACCTTTAGTAACAATACGGACTAACTTTTACGCGTCACTCCGTGCCGGGCTCTGTGTTCATAAACCCTCAGCAACCAAATCTCACGAAACTCGCTCAACAACCCCAAGGGGTCGCTACTGTTATAAAGCCGCGTTTACAGCGGAGGAAACTGAGGCTCGGGGAGATTAAGTCACTTGCCAAGGTCACCACACGCCGAACCCACAGGGAACGCGCGCAAAGCCCCAGCCATCCGCCGCCCGGTTCCTCCCGGGACTTGCGGCCCCGCCACCAACTTCGCCCGCACCTGCCCACCGCGCGGCGCCCCGGCTCCCTGGCGCGCTCACCTTGCCCCGAGACGGGCGGGCGCTGGCGGTCGGCGGCGCCCGTCCGGGCCTGTCCCCGCGGGGCAGCGCAAGCGCTCCGAGGCGGGTGCGCTCCAGGCGGCCCCGCGCTGCCGCCTCCTCCTCCAGCAGCCCCTGCACGCGGCCGCGGGTCAGGCGGCCTCCGGAGCCGCCGCTGCCCCCGAGGTAGCGCACGACTTCCCGCAGGCTCACGGGCCGCGCCGGGCCGCCGGCCCGCGCCGCGCCCCCCTCCGGCGGCGGCTGTGGCTGCGGCGGCGGCGGCGGC